CAAAAAACTTCAATTCGCTCGTATGAAACACTCTGCTTGTGTCCCTGGGCTAGGAGTGGATGACAATAATCTAGGAATGAGGTCTCTGGCAGCAGCAAAATCACTGCGTTCTATGTGTTTTGGTTCTGATGCTCCTTCTCTCAACTCCAGTCTTTTTAGTATGGAAAACGATCCAATCTCTTGCGAAAGTGATTCTAAGTCACGACCTATTGATAACATATTTAAATTTCACAAAGCAATAAGTAAAGACTTGGAGTATTTGGATAATGAATCTGCGAATCTTGGTGATTGCGATGATAGTTTCTTTAGGCAATTTTGTGGTAGGTTTCATCTGTTGTGGGGTCTATATAAAGCTCATAGTAATGCAGAGGATGAGATAGTATTTCCTGAATTAGAATCAAAAGAAACACTTCATAATGTGAGCCACTCTTATATATTAGACCACAAACAGGAGGAAGAGCTATTTGAAGGTATTTCTACCGCACTTTCTAAGCTAACAAACCTTCGCAGAGACTTGAATCGTAAGAAAAAACATAACGGTCAAAATTGGATGAAGTCTCATACCTCTGATATAAATGATACTGTGAGAATGAATATTGAGCTGGCAACAAAGCTCCAGGGCATGTGCAGATCAATTAGAGTGACACTTGACCAACATATTTTCCGTGAGGAATCGGAACTGTGGCCATTGTTCCATACATATTTTTCTGTGGAAGAACAGGATAAAATTGTTGGTAGAATAATTGGTACTACAGGTGCTGAGGTTCTTCAATCAATGTTGCCTTGGGTAACTTCTGCACTTACTCAGGAGGAGCAAAATAAGATGATGGATACATTGAAGCAGACAACCAGAAATACAATGTTCAGTGACTGGCTAAATGAATGGTGGGAAGGACCTCCTGAAACATCTCCACATTATATGGAATCTGTCAGTCATATATCTGGAGGTTTGTGTCGAGCAGATGTCAGTCTCACACTCTACCTCTATAAGTCAAATTATTATTTCTAGAACAAATTATTTTTGGCTTACTAGAAAGTCAATTATTGCCTAATATAACACAGAGATATTATAATTATTTTATCTTAAAAAGAAAGATATTATTATTATTATTTTCAATTTCACTTTTCAGGTTCTGATTCCTATGGCATCTGTGATACAAAGAATGATTCAGTCTTCAAGCCTGGATGGAAAGAGATTTTTAGGATGAACGAAAATGAACTTGAATCGGAAATAAGAAAGGTTGCCCAGGATCCAACCATTGACCCTAGAAGAAAAGATTATCTTATCCAAAACTTGATGACCAGGTTGTTATACTTTACGAACTTTACCTAAACATATAAATTAATATGCAATTTACTATTCTATTCTTATTGTTTAATGGGGTTATATTAGTCGCTGGATAGCTTCTCAGCAGATGCTACCTCAAGCAACTACTGGTGAAAACTCAGATGCAACAGAACTGATTGCAAGTGCCCCATCATTTCGTGATCCTCAGAAACAGATTTTTGGGTGTGAGCATTATAAAAGAAATTGTAAACTGCTTGCAACTTGTTGTGGCAAGTTGTTTACTTGTAGTTTCTGTCATGATAAAGTCAGCGATCATAAAATGGACAGGTAGTTACCTCTTATTTGCTTGATTGTTTGAATATCCCAAGATGTAGTTAAAATATCTTATTCGTTTACAGGAAGGCTTCAACTGAAATGATGTGTATGCGCTGCCTCAAATTTCAGCCTATTGGATCTGTTTGCACGACACCATCCTGTGGTGGTCTCTCAATGGCAAAATACTACTGTAGTATTTGCAAACTTTTTGATGATGAAAGGTGCACATTTGCCATAGCACTCTCATTACCATGCTTCTTATTGAGTTACAAGATTATAATGTGCATCGTGGGTGTGAAGGGGAAAATAAAGAGGAATCTAATCGATACCTAAATTAGTTAAATTGAACTATGGGTTCTGAATTTTGTAGATGATACTTTGTTATCATTTTGCTTATATATGGATGGTATATCAATTTTTATTAAATATATTTTTTATAGGTTTTCCGAATACCTGTTACTATTAAGATGCATGATTTTATTCTTCATTGATCGTATTTTGAGATTTGATAACAGATAAATGATTATTTAGTGTTTACTTTCTGAACCTGAACTTTGTCAGCATATACTCAAATGAGCAGAGAAGTGCAATGTGTTTTTGTTATTTCCGTGTTTTGTTCCTTGCTTGTAGGTTTTTAAAGATTACAAGGCATATTATTAGCTTCTACCATTTCTCATTTAGATCTCTCTTTCTCACACAATATCCGAGATGGAAAAATAATACATTTTAGTTGTTGGATTACTTCCTGGTTTTTTCTTTGATATTTCTTCATTTGTTATTTCAGGGAAGTCTATCATTGTCCTTTCTGCAATATATGTCGTCTTGGGAAGGGACTTGGTACTGATTTTTTTCATTGTATGACATGCAATTGTTGTTTGGCAATGAAGTTGGTTGATCACAAGTGCCAAGAGAGGAGCCTAGAAACAGATTGCCCTATCTGCTGTGATTTTTTGTTCACATCCAGTGAAAGTGTTAGAGCTCTCCCTTGCGGCCATTTCATGCACTCAGCTTGTTTCCAGGTCCCCTTGTTGGATTATTTGCTTTGGTTCTGAGTTTTTCAGTAAAATGTCAACTTGAGAAACTATTTCAGTGGATAGCTTTACATTGTATCGTTACATCATGCAGGCTTACACTTGTAGCCACTACATATGTCCAATATGTAGCAAGTCCTTAGGAGATATGACGGTATGGATGAATAATATGATCTGAATAATATGAAGTCAGTGAGATGCATCAGTTAGCATTGATAACAATATGAATTTTATGTTATTCAGGTATACTTCGGCATGCTCGATGCATTACTTGCATTGGAGGTACTCCCTGAAGAATACAGGGAACGCTGTCAGGTAAACGTCACTTTCTTGCTTACCTTCTTTAAAGTCATTACTTCACTTTCTTGCTTACCTGTTAAAGATCCCATGCTCACTAAACTTCTAATCACCGACTGACTATTTCTCAGGATATATTGTGCAATGACTGCTCCAAGAAGGCGAAAGCGCGCTTCCATTGGCTGTACCATAAATGTGAATTTTGTGCATCTTATAATACCAAGGTGATTAAGGTTAGCTCAGATTCCTGCTCCTCAACATTGAATTAGTAAGCTCCAGTGCCTCTGGCTGTCTACTTGTTCGTGTAAGTGCACCCTTAAAATTGGCATTTTGGTCGTTGCATATAGTAATGGTCGTTTTAACTTTTGAGAATAAAAACTTTAGGTATCAATATGGAAAGAAAATGTAAATTCAAATACGTCACAACTAAGGTGTTTGGGAAACTCAGTGCCTTGCTGCTCATTCTAGTCTAACAGCGTCGGTTACCATTAGGATCTTGAAAATGGGAAAGGATTTGAGGAATTATGTTTGAGAGTGAAATGGCTAAATGTATATTTTTGGTTCTGATTGACAGGACTATTGTCTCTTAATCATAAGTAGAATCCTTCCCTCTTTCTTTCATGGCTATTGTTTTTTCTTTTTGTGACAATCTTACTTCCATTCCCACCTTTATTTTGGTGGTGATTAAGAATTCATAATACATATAATTAGGAAAAATGCTGGTTGCTTATTTTCTTTGGACAATAGCTAAGACTGTTTCTAATGATGAATATTTTGCCATCAAGACAATTATTTGGTTTAATAATTAACATTACTTTACAAGCTTTGCAGAAAGAGAAGGCTTCTATAACTTTCCCTTTTTGTGAAATAAAGAACCGATGAGATGAGCAGCTACTTTTTCAAAAAAGTAAAGCTTGTTACTTGCCTTTCCTTCATTGCTTTAAGTTTACATTTAAAAATGAAGGCTTTGGTTCTTCTATATTTGAAATTCTCAATTCATTGCACTATTTGGAGTAACTCTCATAAACAATTAGGGGCTATTTAAAAAATGACAATTTTCTATATGAACTATACTGTTCCTTGTTTTTAATATAACATGTGGGGTGGGGAGATTCGAATTCACGACCTTCTGTTGGACCTAAATACTTTAATCCGCTGAACTATGCTTAAACTGRCTGATTATACCTTTTCATAATCTATCAAAATAGCGAAATGTATTAAAACAGTAAGCATTTATTTATAGTTGTACCGTGCTATTGGGTTATTTATTGCAATTTGCACAGGAGTAGCATTTTATCAAAGTCTTGTATTAACTTTAGTAGGTCAAAATCTTCTGATTTCATGAAAGAAAAATAAAAATAAAGGTCCAATTTTGAAATTTGTCAACCTCACAAGTCACAACTTTTAAAGATACTAATAATCGTGATAGGTTTGAGTTTTTCGCTGTATTTGAATTATAATACTATAATCTGTTGCACTTCATATATCAATTAGAAATTAGTTATAGCAAAGAAAAACGAGTATAAAAGATTTATATGGTCAAGATAAATTATTTAATATAGTTGACACAATATATCACTTTTAAATATGATAAACGAAAATTGTTAAAAAATTGATCATGTGTTTCATTCAAATGAGAGTTGCCTAAAAAAATGGTTACGAGAGTGAGTCACATATTGTAGTAAATCATTTTTTTTATACTAAGTAAAAATCTAAATGATTTAAATGGTAAAAAAGAAAAAGAAAAAAATTAATAGAGTAAATCTGGATGTAACTTGATTAATTTATATATATATATATATATATATATATTTTGAAGGTTGGACAGATAGTTTGATTGATTAAGATATATATACACGCACGCTCATATACGGTTGAAAAGGAAAAAAATAATAATAATGGAACATGATGCCATACAATGTTTGAAATGGGAAAAACAGAAGAAAAGGAAAATTAAAAAAGAGGAAAGATAGCTACGAGAATTGAAAACAGAGGACAAGGGTAAGTCTGACGACTGACAGAACAGACGGTGGACCGTTTCGAAAAATAATAATCTAAAAATTCATAAAATTTGTGAGCTGAAATTTGAAAAAATCTTCCCTGTTTTCTTTTCTTTCCGAAGAAGGGTCGAGGAAAAGGTCTGAAAAGGACAGGCCGTGGAAGTTCAAGAACGGGGGAAGATTTAAGATTGAAGATTGAAGATTGAAACCAGGCCGTGGAAGTTCAAGAACGGGGGAAGATTTAAGATTGAAGATTGAAGATTGAAACCTTCTCCCCTTTCTCAATTTCTGTCTCTTATTCAACCACCAAATTTGGTTCAGTTTTATCAGCCCATAATTCGGTTCTGTTTCGGAGACGATCTTAGTCCTGTGTTTGTCCTTCGTTTTGTTCATTTCATTTGAAGGAAGAGAGATCCAGTTAGCGTTTCGAATCGTGCGATTTTTTTCTTGGGTGGAATTCCTTGAGGTTTTGGATATGGACGTAGATATCATTTGATTTCAGAAGTTTAGCTGCCTGATTCATTCATAGCATTTCGTAGTTGGAATTAGGGAGTGAGAGAGTGAGATGGGGACAAGTTCAAAAACGGAAGGACCTTCATCCCCGGCGCTTCGACGAGACCCATATGAGGTTTTGTCTGTGTCCCGGGATTCTACAGATCAGGAAATCAAGACTGCTTATAGGAAACTCGCGCTCAAGTAAGTTTTTACTTTATTTCGTATTTCTTTTTATAAATTCATATTCAACGGGAACAATCTTAAAATTCTGTCAATGTGGAAAGCTCAAATCTAGGCTTGATTGTTGATCACTGCATATGCAAAGCTAACAGCTAACCCAGGTCAAATGGCCTGTGAAATATATGGCCACGGCCCGGTGGGAAATCCTATTCAGGATTTGTAGAATTCCCGCCTTTTGTTATTGCTGCTGTCCTGGTTTGTATTGAATTATGTTTTAGTGTTATCTACCATTTCTGGTTCTCATTTTCTTTTTGTACCTCAGCAGTGATTTCAATCTTCAATGGCCATTTTTGTTGGTTCTGGTTTGTGTTAACTGTGAGAGCTTTATGAATTATGATATTAGCGTGGGGCAGGGGCTGAAGGAGTTCTTAGTATGTTGAAGTCCTGTGGCTTGAAATCTTTACCACTAACTTTTGTCTTGATGATTTGCTGTAGCCTGTAGAGGCCATAACGCAATTTTCTAAGAAGTAACATCTATACTTGTTTTTCACTATAATAGCATCATCAAATATAGTTCTATTGGTGATTTGCTGTTTAAAATTTGATTTTCAATTCACATGATGGGCAGGTATCATCCTGATAAGAATGTTGGGAATCCTGAGGCTTCAGAACTTTTCAAGGAGGTTGCTTATTCTTACAGCATTTTATCGGATCCAGAGAAGAGAAGGCAGTATGATAGTGCAGGATTTGAGGTTTTTTTTTTTTTTTTTTTTCTTTCCTCTCTTCCTTATTGTTTCTACTTGTAAAATACCATCATATTTGCCAAGGATAAACTACATTTCGTTGGTTGCATAATTAAATTCTTCTATATAGGTTTGCTTGTTCATTTGTCTTAGTCAATTATAGCCTGTTTCAACCAAGAAAGGGGCAACAACTACAAGTAGAGCATAATATGTGTAAATTCACCCAATGACAATATTAATTAGTTATGAGACCAGAATGGCGAATGGTAAGAACAAACTGATGGATAATTGTGGGAAGAAATCATCAGTCATGATGATCTCAATATACTTCCTCAAGTGTTTTATTTGCTCAATTGTTAACTGAAGCTTGTCTTACAAAGTGTTGTTTAAAAAAAAAAAAGAAATATAAATAGAAAAGTTTCAGTCCTATGTAATTTGGGATTTTTAGGCCTTGTAGAATGGGAACCGTAAACCATTAATGAACAGGGACTTGACTCTGGTGTTAATAGTTATACTGTGATGCGGCAATCCTAATTTGTTTGATGCTTGACTAGTTGAAAATTTTCGTCTGCTAAGGAACTATGGTAAACAAGCTCTTATTATGTTCGGAATGGGGTTACATTTATTCCACTTGTGACTTGTCCCCTTCAACTACACTACCTTTTATTTGAGATTCTATAAAGGGTATCTCAGGCATCAATATAAAGCATGTATAGCTGTGATGATTAGAAACTGATTCTGTAGTTTACCCGACTAGATATGTTTCTACAGAAGTTCCTATTAAAATATTGAAAATAGTAATGGGATATTCTTGTAGAAATCATGTATATTTAGATGTAAAAAAAATCTAAATAATTTTGTAATTGTGTGATATTGAGTTAATTATGTTGTTAATTTATTGATTTTATTATTATTTTTGTGCTGATGGTGTGACAAACCTTCAATGCATGTAAATGAAATTCCTCTTCTTTTGAAGATCCTAATGAACTTGGGTTTCTAAAATAATTTTCCCAGGCTCTTGACGTGGATGGTATGGATATGGAAATTGACTTGTCCAATTTGGGCACTGTCAATACCATGTTTGCAGCTTTATTCAGGTAATATATTTATTTGGTGTTTGAGGTTCTTCTGGTCTGCAATCTCACCTTCTCTAATCTCTAAGCTCGTCTGTTTATAGCAAGTTGGGTGTCCCCATTAAGACTACAATATCTGCCAATGTTCTTGAAGAAGCTCTGAATGGAACTGTGACCATCAGACCTCTTCCTATGGGAACATCAGTCAGTGGGAAGGTGCTTCTGTGGTTCTTATTACGATGAAGATCTCTCTTTCCCTTTAAACTCCATTCACTTATGTAATGCTTCACTGCAGGTAGATAAACAGTGTGCTCACTTCTTTGGTGTAACAATCAATGAGCAACAAGCTGCAGCAGGCATTGTTGTCAGAGTTACTTCCACTGCTCAAAGCAAATTTAAGGTCTATTATATATATATATACTATTGTTATTTTTTGTGCATGGGGAAACATGCATATTGGGTTGCTGCTACTATCATTAAATTCTAACCCAGGATCTCCTTTGTGCACTCAATGTGGTCAAGTGCCCTTTTTTTAGGTGTGGTTCTAATAAGTGAAATCTTTAATTTTCAGCTGCTATATTTTGAGCAAGATACCAATGGTGGTTATGGTTTAGCCTTACAGGTATAATACATTAATATCTCTAATGCTCCCGTGTTTCAGTTTCTCGCTTTTTTTTCCCCTGAAAGATGTATGAGGGGGTAATATGAAATTGAGGAATTAGTTATTATATGGCTGGTAGATTTTTGCTTGCTTCCAAGTTATAATGTGTTTTTACTTTATGAGCTACAAGATCTTTGTGTATAGTTTGTATAAATGGTATTAACTTTGTCATTGTCTTAATAGTCACTCCACTTCAGACATGGCAGTTGTAATTAATTTATATACTTTTAGGATTGACTAGTCTGTTTGCAACAAATGATGAGTATCTTCATAAACAGGAAGATAGTGAGAAGACGGGCAAGGTTACATCTGTTGGGATGTATTTTCTACATTTTCAAGTATACAGGATGGATTCAACTGTGAATGCGGTATGTCAATGCTTATTATTTAAGTCATTACATCTCTACTGTACACTACTATTTTTACTGTTTTTTTTTATAAAAATTTATTTGATGTTTTCTGGGTGATGTTCTGCAAGAGTTGAGAAGTTTATTCTCTTGTATGGTTGATAAATATGTATGGTAGTGCAGTTGGCAATGGCCAAGGACCCTGAATCTGCCTTTTTCAAGAGGTTGGAAGGCCTTCAGCCTTGTGAGGTTTCAGAACTAAAAGCTGGAACTCATATCTTCGCTGTCTATGGTATTATCTGTCAATCATTTGACCTTTTCTTTGAACTTACTACCTAAACTGGTATTTGCTATAATATTTTGTGGTCATGACGCATGATTGTTCAGGTGATAACTTCTTCAAGCCTGCAACATATACAATTGAAGCAATTTGTGCAAAGTCATATGAAGATACAACAGAGAAGCTTCAAGAAATTGAAGCTCAAATTTTAAGAAAGAGAAATGAGTTGCGCCAATTTGAAACTGAATATAGGAAGGTATTGATATTTACCCTGCATTTTCCAGATATAATGCAATTATTTTTTGTTGATACGTTTGTCTGAAAGTACGCTTCCTACTTTATAGGCACTTGCACGCTTTCAAGAAGTTACAAACAGATACAGTCAGGAAAAACAATCTGTATGTATTCTTTACTCAATCCCATACTTTATACTTGCCATTTTTAGTAGCTTTGGAATGATGCTTCTAGCTATTATTTTAATATACATCTTGAATACAAGAAAGATGGACGGTCTAATGGGTGGGGTGGGGGTTAATCTGCAGATTTTTTTTTTTTTTTTTTTTTTTTGGTCTTACTCCCTTCTATTTATTTTGCACAGTGGTTTATTCTAATATTTTCTGTTGCAGGTAGATGAACTTCTAAAAAAGAGAGACAGCATCCACTCTTCTTTCACCGTTTCCAGGCCAGCAAACCATAATGATATTGCAAGTGGTTTAAGCAATGGAAAACATGATGATTCAAAAGTTTACACTTCTGGAGAAGATGGGGGCTCAGATGGAAAGGACAAACCTGCCAAGAAGAAATGGTTTAATCTCAATATCAAAGGATTAGACAAAAAGCTTGGTTGAGATTTAGAAGGGGCATTTGAAATATTGCTTTTCTCTGGGAGGTTTGGAGTGCAACCATAAAGTGATTGGGGCCTATCACACTGCTTTCTTTCTTGTGAGTTTCCTCATAATACTGTTCACTGTATCTACTTTTTGAAGCAGAGCTATACTATACATAAAAAAAGAGATGTGTATTTATGCCATTCTGTTTAGGTCGTATTGAGTGACTTGCTCAGTTCTCAATAGTATTCTGGTAGAGGTATATTTAGTAGTTTCTTTAGTGATAATAAATTCGTTTATTTGGTTTGTGACGAAAACTTGACTGTAAACTGTTTCTGGCAGAGCTGTAGAATTCTCATTTGAATATTACAAATTTTTCATTCATTTGACTCCCACCATGGTGTCCATTGGTTGTTGCCTGATTTTTCTTTGATATTTTGTTGCTGTTGGAAGATTTTTCTGGTCTAAGTTTGATTAAATAAGTGATTTGGTTAACAACTAAAGTACGAAATTTGGCTGTTTATGACTTGCAATTATAGTACCTAACCTATCAAAACAGACCAATTTTTTGGTGGGTCTTAGTTTTTAGGACTTGGTAGGGTACCCTAAACAGAATTCTCAGACAATCATGTAGGCTGAAGATGTGTTGATGAACAGAACACACGTGCAACAGTAGTAAGCAAACAAAGGTCGTTCCAATAATTAGTGGTGGAAAATTGTCTCAATCTGAGCAGAATCTAAGAAGAGGTTTTTTATGGTAGGTGAGTTGTTATCATGTCATGTTCTTGAACCTTTTTGAGGGACAAATTCTCCCAGGAATCAAGGTATTTTGAACATGAAGTTTTTCTAAAAATAAGATATATGCTTATTTATACCCTGTTTTTAAGGTCATGTGTCTCTCATAGGTAACCTTATTGCCTTATGGGAGGAAGCTCCCATATGTTGAGACAATACTTCAGAAAGCACCTTTTTTTTCTTTTTCTTTGAAGCTTTGACTTCAGACACTATTAGTGATATGGCAGAGTTCTATTGGATGAAAATTATAGGTGGACTCTACATTTTTATCAAATATAATATATAGATACACTCAGTAGAAATGAATCACTAGTATTATATAATGGTTTCTCACTTTCTATATAGTATAGTTCTATTGATCTACCTATATTATATTTGATAAATAGAGGATTTTAAATACAACCATAGCTTTAATATGTTTGACAATTCATTTTAGACCAATGCAGATTATTGACTTTACCATGTCTTTAATATATGCTACTGAAAATTTGTATAAGCTTGAGGCCAAATTTTGCCCTTAAATCATGATGATGATCTAAATTAGATAGTTAGATATGTGTTGAATTGTTATGATGAGTGGCGGCAGGTCAAAACAGATGTTTATGTTAATTATATTTTTGAAAAAGCAATAAACTAAGTATTATGGCTCAAGCACACTGAATATTAGTTAAATTAGATTAGTGAAAGATTAAAGAATATATATCACATTATATATGGGTTAGAGGGTAAAGTGAAGTCCACTCAAACTTTTAAAATAATTAGAAAAGTAAAGAGTGTCTCTTGGCAGGCATGGAGGGATTAAAATGAGTCACCCACATTGTTTGGATATTGGGTACTCTTTGCTTTTAAACATATCCACACAAAAAAAAAAAAAAAAAATTGTCCTTTTAGACCCTTCCAAAAAGTAATGGTTTGCAAAAGGAAACAAAGTAAAGATGATTAGAAAGTTAATGGGGTGCAATTTTGATTAATATATGATACTAAAAATGGGATCTTGTTTTAGTTGCAATTATGTTGATTGATTGGGTAAATTTCATAGATAAGCACAACATGGTGGGGCATACTTGTGATTTGGGAAATCTTATATGATAATATTGGCATCTTAATCAACAACAAATTAAAGCAAAACAAAGCAAAAGAAAAGTATGATGATTAAGCCTTTTAAGAAAAATTCAAGAGTTTTTTTAGTGCATTAATTGGATGGGTGGAAACCCATTAGGGAGAGTAAAAATTTAATAAACCCCATTTCTTAAGAAGACACCAGCACATGTTTTATTAAATAAAATTTCTCAGGTTAGGAAAAAAAAAAAGACAAGTATGATTCATTGGATAAAGGTCTCACCACCCACTTGATTATATGTTGTGAATTGCGAAAGAAGTGACAAAGTGGGGACAAAACACAATAAAATGTTTGACACAAAGTCTAAATGTGTTGAGTTTATGTGGGCTTCTTACCAAAGCTTTAATTTTGTTTTGTCTGAAAGAGTTGTACCTAAAAATTCTCAATTGGATGCTTCCTCACATGCCAAAACCTGAATCAATGGAGAAATTTTAGTGCCCACTTGGAATCATCCCCTTTTCTTTTTTTCTTTTGCCCTAACGTAACCTTGTTGGATTTTGACACTTGCAAGACTTAAAATATGAATATATTTCTCTCTAACATCACATCCCACCTCCAAATTATAGAAAGGCGTTTGATGCAGTATTCTGTCGAGCACCACAGGTCGTTCACGAACTAACTAGAGCGAACTGTCGATGTGCAATCTTCGAGACAGAGGAATCTGTACAATGAACAAACACCCCGTCACCCAAGTTAGTGTGAGCACAAGTTTTGTCAAGTTTTTCTCGGAGCAAAATAGCGTACCTGGAATATGGGGTGGAGTGTCTCTTTTATAGGCAGGTAGGGGGACAAAGGTGTTGGAGTCGTTCTGATCGGTGGTTACGGTTGTCGGGGCCCCCAGGTCAGTTGGTCGAACATGAGATCGGATTCCTCGGGTCGGTGGAGCTTTATCATCCTTCTCAACTCGACGAGTGATCAGATCGGCGAGTAGGAATGGTCTGATTTATCTTTTTGGTGACTCCAAACTGAGTAGGAACGTTCACGGGTCGATACTTAACTTTAAACAAAAAGTAGTTTCATTAACTTCTAATTACATCCATTAATCTCTCTCTTGAAAGAAAATTTGATGGGTATGTAGCAAAGACCATAAAGAATTAGAAGAGTGTTTAGAAATATTGAATTAAAGTGGAAGAACTTTTAAAGTTTAAGGAAGAGGGGTAGGTAACATTTGTGGGCAGCATCAACATGGGAAGTCTTTGAATGAAGAAACTAAACAAGTACCAAATGGGGACACCCCATAAAGAAAATGTCAGCCAAGTACATGACTTCTCTTCTGTTTTTGAGCCATATATTAACAATTCTCTGTCCACACAGTTGGGGGTTGGAGTGTGGTCCAGCTTCTCAGCTTCCAAAATTCACACTACACAATCATTCAGAATTTACTCTTCATCACCTCATGTTTTGGACTATGTACGAGATCGGTATATAAGTAAAACACAACATCTGTATTACTCGTGTGAGATGAAACTAAAAGTAAAACTATACGTACGGGTCCATGAGGACCCACCTTGAATGAAGCAAATGGGGGCATTGGAACCATCTTATCAAGTACCTACTTGCTTCAACATTGGAGATTTGTAAGGGGAAAAAAAAGCAACAAAAGAATAATTCAAATATGATATTCCTTTTTCCATCTACACCCCCTTGGATTTGTGGTGCCCCCATGATATCATGTTATATATAAAAAGTGGTGAACATAGCTTAAGCTAGGGATTATTAATCCCATAATATAATATAAAGATATAATCTTTGTTTCATGGAAAATTTTGACAAATCATACACATAGAGAGAGAGAATTGGAGACAAAAGTGGGTCATGTTTTGAAGTTGTGATCAAGACTTTGGAAAGAGCTTTTGAACTAACAAAAAAAGAAAAAAAAAAATTCTGTGTGTGTTTCCAACATGAATTGTAGTTAGTAAGATTTGGAGAGATCTGTCTCCTCTTAAAGTAAAGAAAAGGCATAGGGATTAATAATAGGTTTTAACGTCAATCACGCAAACATCCTATGCACAATAATTCATTCACAAACACCCAAAAAATCATTTAAAAGAATTACAAATTGGGCCCCTCCTTATTTCCCAAGTTTGCAAAATCAACCCTCCCTCTTTTGTTTCTTTCAAAAATACCCCTCCAACTCACTCTCTTTTAACTATTTATATGCATAATATATACCTATTCTATTTTTATACCTATGCTTCAAATCATATATATATATATATATATTATCAATGATTGAATTTTTCTTTTTCTTATATGTGTATAATCTAGCCATAGCTCAACTGATTAAGATATGTGTTATCAATCAAAAGGTTAAGGATTACATATTTGTTGAATTCAAATAAATAAATAAGTAACTTTTTATTCTTATTGATTTAGTTTTTATTGTATTTAATATATTAATAATTCCCACTAATATTTTTGAACCACTAGAAATAAATCTAATTAGAAAGTTAGTGACAAAGAGATCTCTAACTAGGTATGTAAAGTATATAATATATATATGTGTATATATATATCTTAAAAAACAAGTAATGTATGAAGGAAAAAAAAAGTAAGTGCAGTACAGAAATAATTAAAGAGAAATGATAAATTAGAAGAGAGAGCTTCAGAAAATTAATGATATAATAAAGAATAATAAGTTATACCAAGTACTAATTAAAATGGAACATAAATAAGAGGAAGCAAACAAGTTTTGGGTGTCCTTTTCAGTGAATGGGTCATGGGTTAGGTTGACTAATTCGCTGCTTTAATTAATTAGTCCATTAATGAATTAATAAAGGTTTTGGACATGAAACTGAATAATTAGTGTTGTATTGGACTATATGATTCTTCATTTAATTTAAATAATTAATGCATAATAAAAGTGGGGGAAAAATAATCAAGGTGGCTCGCTCAGTCTCAGATGCCTACAGTGAACTAATTTAATTAAACAAATCGTTGAATTTAATATACAAAATTTAATCCTAACTTTCACATGCATTCTTGGATCCTTCCGGCCTATACCACACATTCCATACATTACTAAAATAGGACACAATAATATAGGACATGATATGGCCCAAAAAGATTAAAATAACTCATATAGTTTAGTCAAATCTCACCAATTATGATTATTAAATTGAATATATGCAACTCTGCAAAATAAATTCAAAAAGGGATCTCAAAACAAAAGTAACACTCCGACACGTAAGTTAATCTCATACAATCTATTTCGTTTAGTATTAGCAACTTATTTCGCACGTTCCTAAAGACATAATTATCTCTGGTATTTATAGATGTCAAATAGTTGGAATCGGTTCTTTGACCCACATTGCACGTTCTGTAAAGAACGGCAGGAGTCCAGTGATAGTGGTGAGTTGAAGAGCAATTTTACTTAGTTTGACTGTCTCGATCTTTGTTTCTTCGAGAACCTTAAGATCGAGTCCTTGGTTGACTTTTGTGTTTCGAGATCTCATAGACCTCTTATGACAAAACATGACATGCTATTATTATTTGTCCTCCAAATAAATAGAAAAATTGTGATGATTTTAGAGATGATTAATGAGGTTTAACCAAATCGAAAACTAAATTGAAATCATAGAGACCCAATGAAAAGGTAATTGAAATGAGGCCAGTGAGAGAGAGAGAGACATATGTGTGTGTATCAAAGGGTGGAGATTTGAGAGATGTTTGTTTTTGGTGTTGTCAAAAGGGTAATTATATTTTGGTATTGAAAACCTTCCATTAGATGACAGAGAAAAAAACCAGCAATCCAAAGAGACAAGTGCTGTCCTTACAAGTCCCATGTGTTGTTACTTTGATTGTCTTTCCCATATTTGTCAATTTCCAATCCTTTAACTTTATACATCCCTCTTCTCTCTCCTCCAAGTCCAATCTTTGTTTCTCTCTACCTTGTACTAAATTTGTAAATTAGATTCCTGTGCTCTGTCCTTTATAAATAACACATTCCATGCATCCAAACTCCCTACACATCCCCCAAAATTCTCTCTTTTTCTCTCTCTCTCTCTCTCACAGATTGTAAAAAGTGTGGTTGTGGCTGTGGGTGTAATTAGAAATGGCTGGAGGCCTGGAGTTCCAAACAGAACAAAATCTCACCGCACCCACCACACGCTTAAAGCTAAAACTCTTCGGCTTCGACGTCCGGGAAGAGTTGGAAGAGGAAGATTCTGCCAAAACCCCAACTGGGTCGTCGGAATCCGGCGTCTTCACCCCCTCCGGCGACCGGAAATACGAGTGCCAATACTGCTGCCGTGAGTTCGCCAACTCCCAGGCCCTCGGCGGCCACCAAAACGCCCACAAGAAAGAAAGGCAGCAACTTAAGCGCGCCCAATTACAAGCCACTCGAAACGCCGCCGTTGCTTACGTCAGAAACCCGATCATCTCCGCCTTTGCTCCTCCGCCTCACCTTCTTGCCGCCGCCGCCTCCCCGCCGCCACCCATCATGCTCCCCAACCCAGCCGTCGCCGGGGCGTCGTCCTGGGTCTACATGCCGGCCGCCCGGACGCCGCCGCCGATACAAGTGACGTCACATGGGGCGGTGTTTCCGGCGGCGGTGGTGTCGTACGGCGGCGGGGTGGGGAACTCGATGGCATTGGCGGTGGGTTCTCCGGTGCACGGCCGGGCCGGGGATGGGCTGTCGTTGAACAGATTCCGGAATCAGGGAGATCATAATGGGGTTGAATTTGATGGAGCTTTTGGATTGGATTTGCATCTGAGATTGGCTCCGGCGGCGCCCTGAGTCGCCGGAAATCAGATCCCGATGATGACGTGTTATTATATCGTTGTATGAATGAAAGTTTTCAAAAACCCTAGTGGGAAATTAATCAGTGTACATTTATTTATTTTTTCAACTTTTAGTTTTAATTTTTATCAGATCCATCTCTCTCTAAAAATCTCTCACACATTTGCTCATTAATTATTCTCCTTTAATGTGAAATCATGATTAATTTCAAAACCACTCCTCCAAATTTGAAGAGATTATTTGAACACCGACTCATAAATATATACTGAATAATTTCTTATGAAATTCGTCTTTTTAAAATCGTTTAATGTGCAATAATTGAGGAATTGGGAAGGACGAGAGAGCAAATTTTTAAGAAGAGGGATAAAGGTAAGTGTATTAAAAACGAGATGCCGACGTCAAAAGCATTCTAAAAATATTATTAATACAAGATTAAAAAAAGGGTTTGGTTTATCTTTATTTTATGTGTTTTGCGATTAAACATTTTAATTGAATTCGTTGGCTGTTTTTTTAATGCACTTATAATATATGTTTGCAAGTTAACATGTTGATTAGATTTGGTTTGTTTAGCCATTTTATATATAATTCGCTTTCTCACGCAAACGATTTGTATTTTTAAAAGAAAGAAATTTGAAATTCAAATTTCTAAACCGTAAATGGAATCAGTCATTTCATGTGCCATTAAATCATTTGATTAATGTGTTTTTCGACAAAATTTAATTAATGTTATACAATAGTGAACAGTGTAAAGAAAAAAAAATATTTAAGTGATATACTCTCATTTATAAATATAACTCTTTTTAGTACCACTAGAATTAAATCCAAGACTTTTTTATCAGACGATTTATTAATATAATTAAGTTATTATATTGGCTTCGTATTTTATTTATGCAAAAAGTCCAGTCAACAATAATACGAGTAAAAATATCCCAAGTAAAAAAGAAGTGTATATTCTCTATTTTAGTACAATAATATCACTGAACTATGCTCATTTTAACAGAAAAAAAAGAAGTGTATAGAGTGATTTGACAATGCATATTTTAACGCATGTTATTTAATTTCTTAACTTTGCATATTTATTATTTGAGCTTAAAAGTCCAATTTTCTACTTTTGTGCTAATTCAATATACAAGTTAGGAGCACAACATAAAGAAAAATAATTTTAAAAATCTACATAATYTTTAAGTAATCGCATTGTTTATCAATCAACAAAAATTAATATATATTTTGATCTCGAGATTATGAATTCGAATCTAYGTCTACYATTATACTAAAAAAAATCATAAAKGTATGAAAGGTATTTTCTTTTTCACCCACCTGCAAGGGTGTTCTTGTCCCTACAATTGGGTAACTTGGTCAACATCGTAATAATGATGGGATAGGGATGATTGCGTGGTAATTTGTGAACCAAAAAAAATAGCAAGAAAAATGTTCTCTTTTTTTTTTTTCTCCTTCTTTTTCCTTTTTCATTAAATATAATATAATAAAATCAATAGATCAAATGTACTAAAAATATTAGAATATATTATATGTCATGTTGAAGTGTTTGGCAATGTCATTTCCTTGTGATATTTTGAGTTTAGTGGTTGAGAAAGAGTTAATTATTTATTCCGAATATATTATTTCTTAGAGCAAAGAAAAATTAAGCATTAAGTTAGCTGGGGTTATCTTTAGTCAATCACTTTCTCAAATTTGAGTAATTTGTAAGGTTAAATTTGCACATCTATGCCTTTACAAACAAAAGTTAGTGAGAGAGACATTTTCTCAAGCTCCAAGAAAAGAGAAAAAAGAAGGCAAATCTTTCGGTGTCTCCGATAATTAAGCTCATTGTTCAATCATTTCACAAGGTTGGTTGCCACCCAAAACCAAAGAATAAGATGAATCTTATTCTTGTGCATGCTCAAAGACAATATATAAACCAAACATCACTTTATAATCAAAACAAAAGAAGGAAAAAAAAAWTCTTTGATATTTTTGCAATAAAAATATCTTGGATATCTCARGCAATTATTGTTATTCTTTTTTATATCMATGAGTGTTCGGATCAGCTTGCACGCACCTCAGATTAATCTYACAGAACAACTGTTTGACCGTACGATATTAACGTTGAGAAAGAAATAGTTTTTGTTGGGTTTTGCTTGAAATTTATGGTGGGAATTGGTGTGAAAAAAGGGGAAAGGAAAGAGAATGATTGAAAATTATGATGACATGTGAGGGTTTGAAATTAGCTGTTGTACACTACTCCTGAAACTGAGAATGATATATCCTCCTTCTAGATCAGCTTTTTTGACATTTGAGTGCACTCTTTTTTCCAACTCTCATATGGTGAAGTTTTGAAATTTTCTAAATTCATTCCCACAATCTTTTGGACCCCATCTGCTTTCTCTCTCTAGAACAATTTTTATATCATAACCTGTGGAATATGTTACCCAAAACCCAAACTACT